AGCCTAAAGGTGAGTATAATATGGAAGCACAAGTGACTGGTTGATGGTAAAATAAGAACTCTTATAAGAGCAACACAGACGAGACAGAGTGGCTCCTATTATGTAAGACTAGATGAGCATTTGATTGTAGGTGGTAAGGAAGGTTGAACTAATATTTGAGTGACTAACATATGCCAGGGTGCTTTTTGTATATTTTAATCCTCAAGACAGCCATTAACAGGGATGTGGGTATTGGGTCTTGATATTCTTAACCTCATTTTACAAAAGAGCCAGGATTAGATTCCTTTCCATAAAACTATGCTCTCTCATCCCAGGGGAAGGAAATACACCCATTTTTTCCTAAGATGTTAACTTTGCTTCTTCAAGAAAGACAAAATGAGTCTTTACAGCATTGCTATTTGCTATCCAGGCTTTTGGATGCAAATTCAAATGTAAAGATGTGGCACCTTGCTTCTTTGCTAAGGATTTTAAGCACAGCCAAGTTTGTCCTTAAATACCCAGTCTTTTATTCTCCCGTAAGCTTTCAATTGCACTAGGTTCACTTTCTGAGACTGATGCTATTTTCCTGTTCTAACATGAAATTTTCTTTCTTTGGTGTTGAACGGGAGTAGAATGAAGGAGTAACCATTTTTATTTATGATCTTTAGTGTACTGATAGAATTCTTTTTTTAAAATTCCTTTATTCTCTGTATGTTTGCTTTTTTTATAAAGTTAACTTATGATTTCTGTACTCCTGTCTTTACTATACTTATAAACACACACTACAGCCAAAAAAAAATCTTTGCTCTGGAGATAAAAACAAAGATTTTTGGTAACATTAGATTTATTTTTTCCTATTTCAACATTTTTTTTTTAAAAGGTTGATTAGAGTGGCGGGAGTGGCTGAAGGAATGTCAACTGAGAGTTACCATCATCAATTACTTGTACATTTTAGTATTTTTATTTATCTGGGCTCTTCTTTCACTGCTTCTCAGTATTTCATTTTCCTATAAAATGAGAAGACTTTAAGTATGTCTGTATTAGACTAGTGAGACTGACTGCTTTGTTTAAATGGCATATTTAGTTGTGAGGTAGGTCGATTTAATTTGAACAAACTGATAGCTGTACTAATTTTTTAGTTCTGTGGGAATTTTGGTATAGAGAATGTTACTTGAAATAAATGAGTGAAAGTCTTTTTCTTTGGTGTGTGTGTGTGTGTGTGTTGGCATATTTGTAGTAGAATTTTACTGGAATGGTCAGTTACAATTTGTCTTACGCTGGCTTGTAAAATATGGTGATTTTGTAATTAATGATGGTCATTGGATTTTTTTCTTTTTTTAAATTCCTTATCCTCTAGTACGTAGCAACCCTACGTGTTCTTTAATCTACTCCCAAGAATTATAAGTAAAGGAGGGTTAACTTGACTTTCTCAGGCTCTTTAAATCCTGCTGCTTCTCACCCACCAGGATCCTGTTGCTCCTTTGTGTACTTTGTTCCTCCTTCTTTCTTTGACCATTAACTGGGCGATTGCAGTATATTTCCTTTCCTTCTGCTTCCTTATTTACTCGCTGAGCTGACTACCTTCTCACCAGTGCAAGATGTGCCTACGCTTTGGTACAGGTGCCAGGAAGGGGTGAGGCCAGCTGGTGAAGGGCTGCTCCATGGCTCAGTCCTTGGCACTCTCTGCAGTCAGCCAGTCCAGTCTGGGCCAAGGTTTCATCTGCTTGAAATGGGTGTTGATGATATGAAACTTACTGCAGGGATATTAAGTCTTGTTTTCTCATGTTTTAATTTAGCTACATATTTTTTATAGGTATAAGACATATGTATATGTTTGTTTAACAGAGTAGTGGAAGTATTAGTTAGAAACTAGCACTTCTTCCCTCAAGGAAAATTGATCCTCTTCAACATTGTTTTTAAGCCTCCAGGACTTCGCTCCAGCAGTATATGCTCACACATGGAAAAGAGCAGAATTCTGGTGTTCCCTTTGACCATATTCTTCAGGGGAAGCTGCCCTCATGAAAATTTGATTTAAGAAGATGTTTTAGTGTGGGGCTCTCATGGGAGACTGTTGATTTTGGATGCTTAGCTATCTGCAGCAAGCAGGGGTTTTTGTTGTTGTTTTTTAACTTCAAATGAAAAAGAAAATCTGTTTTGGAGAAAAACCCAGTTAATCTTAAACTCCCTCCAGCTCAGGGATCACTTTACTTAAAATCATTTTGCTTCTGAATGGTCATCCTGGTTGGTCTGAAAGGTGAGGAGGAAATGTCTTTCTAATTAAGTTGGACCTTATTCTGTCTCAGCACGTATGATACTTGAATCTCCAAACCCAGACCTGCTGTCCTGTCCTCCCATCTGTAGCTGCTTGTGTAATTCCATCAACTTTTCCATTTCCATTGTCTCTTCCCATTGTCTTTGAACATTTATTTCTGAGAACAAGGTATGGATTAAGAAAATGACTCAACCACTAATATAACTGAAGATGATTTCTAAACCTGTAAATTAATCTTGGCATCCAAAACAACGAATTGCACATGCTTGTGGTGTAATTATTTGTTGAAAACTCATTGGCTCTTCATTCTTTATAGTGCTTTTCTTAAGAAAATAAAAAGGTAGAAATGAGATCACTTTGACCCAGCAAAGACAGATTTTGAGCCTTGAAATCCTTTATAGGATCCGAATGTTGAGGTATGAATTGAAACTATTTCTACTTAGTCTTAACTTTGATTTAATGCTCAGTTGAACATTCCTGTTCATGCCTCTGCAATCTGATGCAGGAGGAGGAAAAAATTAAAAGTTTGTTCCAAACTAAAATGGCTCATATTTGGTTTAAAATACTCGTAAAGTAGGCTCGGTGAAGAAGATACATGTATGAAATGAACATCTTGGTACTTTAGGGTTACTAAAGATATGTTATGGAGTTCAACAGTCTGCTTGCCTTACTGTATATTCAAATTAAACAACAGGAGCAAATTCCAAGAATCAAGTGAATGTATTCTAACAGGAAGCTGAACCAAAGATCTTAAGTATTCCATGTATTCAGGGCAGTATGCGGGTAGTTGGACCAGATAACCTCTAAGCTCCTTCTGCCTCCCAAAGTATAAGCCTCAGCTGTGGCACGTCCAGATAAACAGGCAGGAGACAACTCCGTGTCAAAAAAAGTGTGAACACTGAGAACAGGACTTTCCACCTCTTATGAGGAAGGAAGGAAAGGGTTTTGCAGCTAGATGTGTTGGGTCTGGACTGAGGTCAGATTTGACACACCGTTTGACAGACAGCCTGGACACAGGAAGCCATCTTCTGTGGCTCCCAACTAGGCTGTGGTTCCCGTCTTCCCCTCTCCCACACACACACAAAATAAAAGTCTTAACCATGGGTCAGCTTATTTCAACCTTTTCGGGTAAAAGACTTTATTCCTTTGGAATTCAGAAACAAGAATTTGTTTTCTGAAAAACACATGCCATTGGATACCCTTTTAACTCAACGTGTGACTGAAACTTTGTTTAAATAATTCCACCTTCTGCAAGGGCTGCCATTGTATTTATTAAAGTTGACAAAACAGAAACCACTTCTTCTTTCATTACATTTTCTGCTTTCATGTTCTGTCATTCTGAGATCTTTTTTTCTTTCCCCCTCTCTGTCTTCTTTTCCCCCAGCTGTCGGCAGCATCCAGCCCCTCCAGTCACAGTCCTCACAGAGCTTCAGGAAAGGACCCTTTTGCAGAGCTCTCTTTGGAGGATTTCTTATAAATCACTTTAGGTATTGCTGCTTGTTGGGGGAGATGGGGACTTAAATATCAATACTTTTAAAAATGACCAAACATTAAGCACAATTCACTCTTCTTTGTTTCTTTAAAGGACTCTAGGCTCCCTCTCGTCCTCCTCCTCCTCTGTTCTTTAGGTGAAGAATAGATCAAGACAGGGCATAAGGACAAAGGACTTTTGGAAAATATCTTTAACATTATTAGAAGATGTGAAGTCAAAGGACCATCTCACATATGTACATATAAGCATCCACTGTGCACAGCAGATGGATGAGCTCAAACACCACCCGTTAAAAACTGGGTGTTTTATTCAGTCTTAAAAGATTTATAGAGAACAACACAATTTTACGCACTGGATTCAAGCTTTATTAGGAGCATCTTTAGTTTTAACATAATGGCCAGGGTTCATTGTGAAGAATTCATTTTAACAATTTCTTTAAAGGGTTATATTTTTATGTATGCCTTTTTCATTTTAAAATAGTAGTATTTTCCAAAAAAACAGCTTATATGTATTTTTAAATTAAAGGCAAGTGAATACTTAGTGCCCTTTTTGATAGAAAGATTCTGCTTTTGATCCACACTGCCTCTTTTCCTGGAAGACAGTGTCATTTGTTCTTCTTGATGCCGTAGCCCCCAGTGTAGATACACCTTCTGGATCTTTGACAGTTTGTACTCTTCTGATTTGACAACAGTTTATTAGCACATCATTTCAGTAATGTCTTTGGATGAGCAGTTTAAAAGATAAAGATATCATGAGTGAAATATCTGAGTGACTAGTTGACACCCTATTGAAAAGTATTCTTTTGTAGATCTTTCAGATTTTGATTTATATTAGAAATTTTTAGTAAACACAATATTACTGTTGCCTTAATTATCTCTGATTTTATTATAATATTTGGAAATAATATTTCAAATTTTGCTTGTTGCCTAAATGAGATTTTTATGTGGAATATTTGTGTTCATGGAGAGATTTTCTGAACTTGTCATGGAAAAATCATTCGTCTTCTTTCTTCCCATATCCCTTGGTTTTTTAGTAATTAGAAAGATACTTGGAAGTTCCTGTAGTTATACTTCAAATATTGAGTTCTGGCTCATGATAAGCTGATAATACTGACTTCGTTTTGTAATCAGGGTTTGTGATAAGCATGCCATGAACACTTCCAGGCAAGTTGAATAGTAAGAGGCACAAAGCATTTTTACTTATGAGAAGATATCCTACAATGCAGTGAATTAACTTATACTCTTTTTTTTCCCCCAGATACAGTTTATGTAACTAGATGGAAGAGAATGGAATTATTCCAAAAAGACAAGTGCTCAAGCAGCAAATACTTACTTCCAGCAAAATCCAAACTGCTGTCTCTTAAACTCTCATTAGAATGCTACAGTAACCCAGTGAAGGCCCATGCAGGAAATTGGGACTAGTCTATAGGAGAACGTATCAATACAGTTTATAAAGCCAAGAATTGCCATGAATTCAGACTGTCTTTTGGGTGACTAATTCTTCAGTTCTTTCATCTCCTATTAATACCCATAATCAGTAACCTACCAAGAAAAGCCCTTATCTGGAAAGAGCGAAATTTGTAT